TAATTGGGAAAAATGTCATTTCATGGTGTCGTCAGGTATTGTTTTGGGACATATTGTGTCTGAAAGAGGAATAGAGGTTGACAGGGCAAAAATCGAGTTGATCTCTAAATTACCTACACCCAAAACAGTAAAAGATCTTCGGTCTTTTCTTGGACATGCTGGTTTTTATAGGAGGTTCATTAAAAAATTTTCAGCCATAGCTCAACCTTTGTGTAACCTCCTAGCCAAAGATGTTGAGTTTAATTGGACTCCTAAATGTGAAGAAGCTTTTCGAACCCTTGTCACCAAATTAACTACCGCACCAATCATACAATCACCAGACTGGAGTCTTCCATTTGAAATTATGTGTGATGCTAGTAACCATGCTGTAGGAGCAGTTTTAGGCCAAAGAAGGGAAGGGAAGCCATTTGTTGTATATTATGCTAGTAGAACTCTTAATAGTGCTCAGAGGAATTATTCTACAACTGAAAAAGAGTTACTAGTTGTTGTTTTTGCGTTAGATAAATTCTGTTCTTATCTCATTGGTTCACCTATTACTATGTTTACTGACCATGCAACTCTTAAGTACCTTTTATCTAAGAAGGATGCTAAAGCTCGTTTGATTAGGTGGATTTTACTTTTGTAGGAATTTGATCTCACAATTAAAGACAAGAAGGGTGTTGAAAATGTGGTGGCTGATCATTTGTCTCGATTGGAGCTTAATGACTCCAATATTGAAAGTTCACCAATTCGAGATGACTTCCCTGATGAACACTTGCTCATTGTTAGCCAAGTTCCATGGTATGCTCACATTGTTAACTACTTGGTTTCTAATGAAATTCCATTGGATTGGAGTGCACAAGATAAGCGTAAGTTCTTGGTTAAGGTAAGAAATTTTTATTGGGATGATCCTTATGTGTTTAAGTATTGCCCTGACCAGATCATGAGACGGTGTATTCTTGAATATGAGATTAATAGTGTCCTTAACTTTCGTCACTCTGAAGCTTGTGGTGGCCATTTTTCGATGAAGAAAACTGCTGCAAAAATTTTGCAATGTGGATTCTATTGGCCTACTTTGTTTAAGGATACTAATTCTTTTTGTCGTTGCTGTGATAGGTGTCAAATGTTAGGTGCATTAACTCGTCGTCACATGATGCCTCTTAACCCAATTCTAGTCATTGAGATTTTTGATTATTGGGGTATTGATTTCATGGGACCATTTGCATCTTCTTTTGGTTACCTTTATATTCTTCTTGCTGTTGATTATGTGTCTAAATGGGTTGAGGCTATACCTTTCCGTACCAATGATAACAAAGTAGTTGTTAAGTTCTTGAAAGAAAATGTGTTATCTAGGTATGGTACACCACGTGTGATTATTAGTGATCAAGGGACACATTTTTATAACTGTTCTTTTGAAGCCTTGATGCGCAGGTATGGTGTTATTCATAAGGTGTCAACCGCTTACCATCCACAGACTAATGGACAAGCTGAATTAGCCAATAGGGAGGTAAAACAAATTTTAGAGAAAACGGTAAACCCAAACCGCAAAGATTGGTCTTTACGCCTTTAAGATGCACTGTGGGCATATTGCACTGCCTATAAGACTATTCTTGGGATGTCTCCATATCGGCTTGTATATGGGAAAGCATGTCATTTGCCTATGGAACTTGAACATAAAGCTTATTAGGCTACTAAAGCACTTAATTTTGATTTGAATGCTGTAGGTACCCAAAGGAAGTTACAAATATCAGAGATAGAAGAATTGAGGAATGATGCATATGATAACTCTAGGATCTACAAGGCTAAATTGAAAGCAGCTCATGACAAGCAGATCCTAAGGAAGAACTTTGAGCCAAATCAAAAAGTGCATCTTTATGATTCTCAGTTGCACCTTCATCCAGGAAAGTTAAGGTCTCGATGGACAGGGCCATTTGTGGTGAAACAGGTTTTCCCTAATGGTGCGGTTGAGATTCAAGATCCAATCGATGGGAGAAATTTTCGAGTTAATGGACAACGATTGAAGCAGTATGTGGAGCGAGTAGACCAACCTGAAGAGATCACTCTCATGACTCCAATCTATGAGACATAACCAGGTTTTATCTTTCCAGACTATCATTTGTTTTTCTTATTTTCTTTTAGTAGTTTTTTTTCTTTTATAGTTTTTTTTTAGGTTTCCTTCCCTAGTTATTACATTTTAGGGTTGCCTTTGTTTCTTTTATGCCAGTGAGGACACTGTCTCATTTAGGCTGGGGGTGGTAGCATTGCATGCACATTTTTGGCACATTTTTTATATACATTCTCTTCAAACAAAAACAAAAAAAAAAAAAGAGAAAAAAAAAGGAGCAAAAAAAAAAATTGCTTATTCCTTAGACTTTGGTAATTCTTGTGTGAAAGGGTTTGCAAAGCATGATTATTTCTACTTTTCTACCTATGTATGATTTCAAAATTACTTGGTTTAAGTCACTTTCTCTATCTTGATTATTAAACAGTAACTTCTAAAAATTTTTTGTGCACAATACTAAGCTTTGTGGTTAGATGGATGTTCAATATGTATAGCTAAGAGAATTATCAAGTTTAAGCGCATTTTTTTTTTATACTCACACATCTTTTGTGAGTGAGTGGAGAGTTGAGAAAACAACTTATGAACTTTCATTGCTTAGTTGAATT